GGGAGAGGGATGGATTGGGAGTTTGGGGTTAGTAGATGCAAACTATTACATATAGAATGGACAAACAACAAGGTCCTACTCTATAGCACAGGAAACTATATCCAATCTCCTGGGATAAACCATAATAGAAAAGAATATAAAATATTGTTTTCCATTATGTATATATAAAATATATATGTGTATACCTGAGTCATTTTGCTGTACAGCAGAAATTAGTACAACACTGTAAATCAACTATACTTCAATAAAATCAAAAAGTTTCCAAAAAAGAGTATAAATACTGTCTTCCATAACATATACTGCTATCCTAACTATATCAACATAATTAGTCATTTGCTTTATCTCATGGTATACTCACAGTCTCTGAGTAATAATGATAATAATAATAATAATACCATCAATAAGAAGAGTACTGAAAACAGTTTATTTTTTTGGAGTTTTTTTGTTCATAGGGAATAGCTCACTAGGAATATTCAGTCAAATTTACTGAATTTTAAAGTCATTTGAAATAATTACTCTCAGTTTGATTAGGCCACCATCTTGATATATAGTCAAATGTTTCATTTTTCTATCAATGTTAGGAATCCTTTAATTTTGTTTTATAATTATATATTTACCTGGTTCCAAAGTCAAATTTACAAAACGAGATCTATTCAGAAGTTTAGCTTCTTACCCTGTTGCCTCTACCCTCTTGCCTCTCTCCCCCATAGGTAACCATGCTTTTTAGTTTTGTATATATATATATATATATATATATATATATATTTTTTTTATCTCCCCCCTTTCTTACATAAGCAGTAACATATCATACATACAATTCTGACTTTGTTTTTTTTTGTTTGTGTTTTTGGTCGCATTGCGCAGCTTGCGGAATCTTAATTCCCGGACCAGGGATTGAACACTGGCCACAGTGGTGAAAGTGCCGAGTCCTAACGACTGACAGCCAGGGAATTCCTGATTCTGACTTTGTTTTATACTTTACAGTGGATCCTGTAGATCACTCCTTGTCAGTAAATATAGCTATACTTCATTCCCTTTTACAACCGCATAGTGCTCTACAGTGTGGATGTCCATGGTTTATATTATCACTCCCCGATTAACTGCAAATTTGGTTGTTTCCAGTCTTTTGCTATCAGAAATATTCCTGGTATGAATAGCCATGTGCATACATATTTTCTTATTTTTGCCAGTATATCTTTGCAATAGTTCCTATAAATAGAATTGCTGAGTCCAAAAGGAAATGCTTATGTAATTAAGCTAAATATTCCCCAATTCTCCTCTGTAGGGGCCACATGACTGATCTTTGCATTCCCATCAGCAATGCTAAGCATGCCTGTATTTCCACAGCCTCATCAACAGAGTATCTTGACAAACTTTTGAATTTATGCCCATCAGATAGGTGAGAAATGATAACTCAGAAGTTTTCATCTGAATTTCCTCTGTTGTAAGTGAAGTTACACTGTTCTGTGATTTAACCAAGCTAGCTCTCTCCCTCTTGACTCCTTAGAGTGACCTCACCATGATTTACATGGTAAAATTTCAGGGAACCCAGAAAGGTCTCTTTAACTAAGTTCCACCATATCTAACTCATATTTTTGGAACTTATTGCCTGAAGGAATAAAAGGAATAGCTTAGAAAGGGAATTACCAAAGCCATCTTTGTTTTGGTTATAGCTAATAACAGCAATGACTTTCAATTATTGTGTACTAGGAACTGATTGTTTTTTATGCATTATCTCACTTAATTTTCCCAAGAATCCATGAAGTAGGTACTGTTATCATCTCATTTAGAGATGAGGAAAGTGAGATTGATATTAAATAAGTTAGGAAGAACATAGGGCTAGTAAATGGTGGAACTTGGATTCAAAACCAGGTGTAATTCTAAAGCCTTTGCTATTACTCTCCATATTGTAGTAGCTAAAGACAAGCCCTGTCTCTAAATCTCCTGAACTTGGGGGTGGAGATGGAGAGAGGAATATAAGATTAAGATGAGCTTGGGGAGATAAGGCAGTTCAGATTACTGATATCCTGTTCCATGATTCCCACCTACCATCAGGTATTCTACGGAAAGACTTCCATCCAGCAGTTTTTCAAGTAAATCTTCATTGACCAAGGTAAATTTTTATGTCCCACAAAAGCTAAGACTCAGAAAAGAAAATGTAAGTTACAGAAAATTTTATTAGCATCTACTGATCAAAAATAAGTATATGGGACTTCCCTGGTGGTTCAGTGGTAAAGAATCCGCCTTCCAAGGCAGGGGACACGGGTTCGATCCCTGGTCGGGGAACTAAGATCTCACATGCCGCAGGGCAACTGAGCCTGCGTGCCACAACTACTGAGCCTGCATGCCTCAAATGAAGAGCCCGTGTGCCGCAAACTACAGAGCCAAAGCGCCACAACTAGCGAACAGAAAAAACCCCGCATCCCACAACTAGAAAGAGGCCTGCGCGCTGCAACGAAAGATCCCGTATGCCTCAGCAAAGATCCCATGTGCCACAACTAAGACCTGAGACAGCTCCAAAAAAAAAAATAGTGTATGTTGCCCTCTAGAGGTAAATTGATTTTTGATAAGGAAGCATATTCAGAGTTTGTGTAGGGTCTCCTTGAAAATGTCATCTCACCACAACCTTCAAGAAATGAATGACTTTTACTAGCCTTCCACATTAAGAAAATAAAGTGATTCAAAGTCTCAAGTAAGATATTTGACTCCTATTTTTTTACCCTAAATTCTGGTTGAGCAACATCAGAGGTCTATAGTCTCCCAGGAAAAGTTCATAAACTGCTAATGGGACTCCTGCTCCTACCACATCCTAATGTAAATTTTTCCTACAAACATTTATGAGGTATTTCCAAAAGGAGAAGAGAAAATATAACTTGGAAATGGTGAAAAAGGAAAAAGAAAAGGCAAAATTAAAAGAACTCTAGAACGTGATCTGCTTATCTTGAACTAATTTAAAGTAAACTCAATTACATGAGTAGATTCCCCAAATTGTAGAATAAATCTCTTATATAAATTCATTTTACATCTCAGGAAATTCCACAATACATTGATTAGTTTTATTAAGATCTAAACTCTATATTTTGCATGTCAAGAAACCCTTTGGGTTTTCCTATTCCTCAGACTATTTTCCTAACTTTATGGAGGTTTGAGAGGATAACAGGGGTCAGGCTGGCAGAGTCACAGATCAGAGCAAGGAGTAAAGTAAGAAAAATGCTGGAAAAACCAGGTAGCATCTCAATTCCTTCAGAATAGTCTTCATAAAGTGGCATCATTATTATGTTGGAAGTGAATTCACAAATCTCACACAACTTCTGGTGTTAAATAGAAAGACATTCAGAGTTATTTTTGTTTGTTATTATCCACATATCTAGAAGCGGAGGAAAAAAAAACTGATGCACACTTATTGACTCTAGCACAGACTAAATTAGCTTTTCTCTTTGTAGTAGACCTGTCTCAACTTACCTCAAGCTTTTGTGAATCAGATAACCTGTATGCTTACACTTTAACTGTGTATATTAAATAAAGAATCTGTCCTTTTAATCATATAGGATTCAGACAAGAGCCACAAAATTTTAGTTAAAAATCACAGGTTTATCTTTTTATTTTGAAAAAGACATAAAAGTCAAAAAAGCAAAAATAAAACCCAAAACAACCAGGTGTATCAATAATTGTGACATATGTGATATAAAAATATACATATATATACACATATATATGTATATATATATACACATATATATGTATATATATACATACATATACTCATATATATATGTTTGACAATACATGACGAAGCTTAGTAAGATGTTTGAAACTTAGGCTGGGCTTGAACAGATTTCTAATGAAATACAACTAAAAGTTTTGCTTAAAGAGTCTAGGCAATGTTCAAGAAATTATGACCACTCTTCTATAACCCATTTGCAAAGGTCAGCAAAATAGGCTTCAAGACATGTTTTTTTAGCAGGGTAGTTCTGGGTAATGATCCTGTTTCCTTATGAACAACTACTTAACTCATCCACTATGTTGAGGTCTTCTTGCCTTTAAGAGTGTGAAGAATACAAGGATGAGTGAACTCCAGTGATACAGAGAATAGGACAGTATAAAAATATTGAAGCATCCATTTAAAGCAGAAGAGGGGACTTCCCTGGTGGTCCAGTGGTAAAGAATCCACCTTCCAGTGCAGGGGACGTAGGTTTGATCCCTGGTTGGGGAACTAGGATCCCGCCTGGTGCAGGGCAACTGAGCCTGCGCGCCACAACTACTGAGCCCTCGTGCCTCAACTAGAGAGCCCGTGTGCCGCAAACTCAAGAGCCCATGTGCTCTGGAGCCCACACACCACAACTAGAGAGAGAAAACCCGCACACCACAACTAGAGAGAAGCCCGCGGGCTGCAACAAAGAGCCTGGGCGCCACAACAAAGATCCCGCATGCCACAACTAAAACCTGACGCAGCCAAAAATAAAATAAATAAATAAAATAAAATTTAAAAAATTTAAAGAAAAAGCAAAAGAGAACCCCAAGTCTGAAAATAAGCCAAGGGTAGTTCTACTACTGATATAAATGAAAGCATCCTGAGACTTAGTATACCACTCCCTTATATATGCATAATAATCTCAGGTAAAATATCTGAGCAATTTGTAACGTAAAACCTCTATAAGTTTTACAATAATGTGCCTTTTTCTTTGCTTTGCTCTACTTTCCTTCTTTGCCTATTCCTAAGGCTGCCAGTGAACACCCTCTGCAATTGCTTAGTGTGTCAGGTCCCCAAGAGCCCCCTCCCCACCTCCTGGGTTTGATGATATGCTTGGAGGAGTCATAGGACTCAGCATATGACTGTACTCATGGCTATGATTTACTACAGCAAAAGCATACAAAGCAAAACAGCAAAGGAAAAGGTGTATGGAGCAAAGTCCGGGGGAAACCAGGCACAATCTTCCAGAGTCCCTGGCAGTGGAGTACCACAGGAGGTGCTTAATTCCCCTAGCAACTGAGTTGTGACATGTGTGAAATGCTGTCTACCACAAAAGCTCATTAAAGATGCAGTGCCAGGGTTATTATTGCGGGATAGTCACATAGGTACCTTCTGCCTAGCATATACCAAAATTCTAGACTCCCAGGAAGAAAGCTGGTGTTCAGCACAAACCACACTGTACAAACGCCTTAGTCACAGCAAGCAACTCTTATCAGTGAGAGTGGAGGGAACCCTAGAAATCTAAGTTCCCAGATGCCAGCCAAGGACCAACCTTACAAGCAGGCCTTTCAAAGCATAGTGGTCAGGTCTGCTATTTTGCTGTTTTTTGCATACTTAGCGACAATCTCACAGGAATAAGCAACACACTTTCAGATTCAAGACTCTTCTAACCCGGAAACAAGCATTTTTTAAAAAAACAACATAATAAAGTCTGCTGCCTAAGATATGGTTAATGCATTCACGTTAATTATAGTTGTATTTGAGTTTTATTGAAAAGTGGAATGAAAATACATGAAAAACAAAGGAAAATTCAGTTTTGTCTTAATGAACTTGGAATCTCAGTATTTCAATATAAAGAGGGCTCTTTCAGTATTGCTAGTGGCAAAGTCTATAAATACCCATGTTATAATTGACTAGAAATGGATTTCACATGACTACATATAATTAAACAAAAATAAAAAGTTGATAATTACTTTTCATTAATAGTTTGAACATTAATTTTAGAAATAAAAGGTTAAGGAGGCACTGTAACATCATATTTATGAAGAAAATTTTCTTCAGCTAATATTCTGGGGATACAAGAGGAAATTTCCTTCTGTTGTTCTCGCCACTTGAGTATATTCTCTGCCAGTTCTGCTGTCTCAGCCACCAAAATATCCATCTCTGCTAAGGCTGTGCTCTATAACATTTGAAAGAAGGGGAAAACAGGAGAGAAATCATGTGTCATTAATACATTACTATATCATAAATAATTATGACACCAAAAGTTGACAACTCATCTTTTCCAGCCCCTTAATACAAAGGCTCCTTAAAATTGTGCTGTCCTACATGTTCTTTTTCTTTGTGAGTTCATCTCTCCTTTGTCTTCAATAATCACCTCAATGCAGATGACCCTCAATTATATTGTCAAACCTAATCTTCTTCCTAAAATTTAGTCCTACATTTCAGTTTGCTGGAAATCTCCATCTAGATGCATATTCAATATCTCAAACTTGATTTAACCACAGTTCAACAAACCATGACTGAACATTTACTGTCTCTGCAAGACATATCAAAAAACAAACTCATTGGCTTCTTTAATCTCTTGATCCTACTTATCCTCAAGTCCCCAAGGCTAGAAACTTCATTCTTTGGATGTGTCCCTTGTCCAAATAGTAGCCACGTGCTAGAAATCTGACCTCCAAAAATCTAAAAATCTACACAATCCTTTGTATTCCTATGCTTTAAATCTTTTATCTGAATGACTGTATTTATTCTCCAAGTTCCTCTGCCTTTTGTTCCTCTGCCTAGTCCTCTAACCCACAGTTCATCAAACTTTAATGTGCATAGGAATCACCTGAGGAACTTGTTAAAATGTAGATTCAGATTCTGAAGGTCTAAAGTGAATGAAGTCTGCAATTCTGCATTTCTAGCAAGCTTCCAGGTGATGTTGATGCTCTGCCCATACTTTGAGTGACAAGCCTCAGTCTACTTTATCCAATATTTTCTCCATGATTAAGGTACAGTCCTGCTCAAGTCAACCCTCTGTGCCCTTCTCTAAAAAACAAAAGAAAAAAACATCCAGTGATTCCCCAGTACTCAGACAAAGTCTAAACTTCTTAGTCTGGTTTTCAAAATATTCCATAAACTAACCCCGAGTCAATCTCCCTCTCAATACCTTGAAGCATCAGCCAAAGTGGAGTACCACTCTTCCCTCAAACTACCTGTACTCTCTAATTTTCATGGCTTTCCTCACATTGCTGCTTTCGGCTGAACTACTCTTTCTGATGCACATCCAGTTTTCACTGATTCTTCAAGATGGAGCTTGCTATTAACTCCTATTTAAAACTTTATTCAAGTATTCCTACTTCCTATCCTATTCCTAATCTCCCTAAAGTGAAAGTAATCACCTCCTTCCCTGTGTTAAAAGACAGCATCTTCTTTATAATTCTCTGCTGCACTCACTGTGCAAATACAATACTATAAAGTAGAGAGTATCTGATACTCTCTCTCACCAAACCTTGAGAATTTGAGGAGAGGGATTGGTCATATCTGTTTATCTCTCATGATACCTATAGCACAGTCCCTTGCACAATGAAGATAACACATATTTAATAAATACTGGAATAAAACAATGTAAAATGACTTCTAAATAAAGAAAAGGCATCCTGATTTAAAAAAAGTAATTTGCTCATAATATTAGCCAACAAAGAAGTTAGACAAGGAGATCACATATTTGAGATTCTAGTATAAAAGAACTAAAGATAGCTAAAAGCAATGTGAAAGGAGTTGATGAGGTACTTAAATGCTATTGGTAATACTCACCATTTTCTTCAGATTTTCATCTAAATGAGGGATATTTCTAATTATTTCAAGATGATCTTCTAATCTCTCAATGAAAGTTACTGCCAACTCCAGTAAATGCACCATGTATCTGAAGGAGGGAGAAAAAAAGTCAACTCTTTTTTTTTTTAGTTCAGGTATTTTGTGTTCTCTTTTTTCCCTTTAATTAGGACTTTTAATATGAAATTAAAAGAATTACAATCCACCCAATGAGCCGTTAATAACCTTTCTGCATTCATGGAAATATCAGTGATAAAAAAGGTTCTTCTTCCGGGCTTCCCTGGTGGCACACTGGTTGGGAGTCCGCCTGCCGATGAGGGGGACGCGGGTTTGTGCCCTGCTCCGGGAGGATCTGGCATGCCGCGGAGCGGCTGGGCCCATGAGCCATGGCCGCTGAGCCTGCGCGTCTGGAGCCTGTGCTCTACAACAGGAGAGGCCACAGCAGTGAGAGGCCCGCATACCGCAAAAAAAAAAAAAAAAAAAGGTTCTTCTCTTTCACTTTAAACAGGAATTAACTTTTCATCCAAACACAAAAACAGAAAGAGACAACACTAATCATATCTGTAGCCCAATCTAATGTTAGACAAACATCAATGTTAATAATTTTCTCATATAAGTAAAAAATTGGGACTTCGGCGCAGTGGTTAAGAATCCGCCTGGGGCTTCCCTGGTGGTGCAGTGGTTGAGAGTCCACCTGCCGATGCAGGGGACACGGGTTCGTGTCCCGGTCCGGGAAGATCCCACATGCCGCTGAGCGGCTGGGCCTGTGGGCCATGGCCGCTGGGCCTGCGTGTCCGGAGCCTGTGCTCCGCAACGGGAGAGGCCACAACAGTGAGAGGCCCATGTACCGCCAAAAAAAAAAAAAGAATCCGCCTGTCAGTGCAGGGGACAGGGGTTCAATCCCTGGTCCAGGAAGATCCCACATGCCACACAGCAACTAAGCCCGTGGGCCACAAACTACTGAGCCTGCGTGCCACAACTACTGAAGCCTGCGCACCTAGAGCCCATGCTCTGCAACAAGAGAAGCCACCGCAATGAGAAGTCCGTGCACCACAACGAAGAGTAGCTCCTGCTCGCTGCAACTTGAGAAAGCCCGTGCGCAGCAATGAAGACCCAAGGCAGACAAAAATAAAATTTTAAAAAACTTTAAAAAATAAATAAATTTTTAAAAAAGAGTGAAGAACGTAAAAAAAAATTTCTCTAGGTAAA